TTCCCTCGGGGGCGGGTGGCGTCTTAGTATTCCGGAGGTGGACCCCGGGCTCCCTTCGCACACCCTGAGAACATTCGGGGAAAGTACTGAACCTAGTAACATTGAAGAAGCTGACAAAACTGGCTTTTTCTCTTCCTTTCTAATGCACGTACTAAAGTAAATTTGCATTTTCCCCACAGTGAAATGGGTCCTTCGGAAAAAATACGTAAGGCGGCGCTGAGGCGATGGGGTTGTCTCGTGACGTCATTGGAGGAACGAGTTACTGCAACAGGCTAGTTTATCGTTAAACGGGTTTTGCAACTGGATGGGCTGATGTGATTTGCCCCGGCTGGCCTGGCAAGAAACTTTTATCTCTCTCCAGCTGCTTTCTCTTCTCCAAAGATTTTTCGAAGCTAGAGAGCTTGAAAAGACAAAGTGACCTCAGTACTATAAAAGGGGCTTCGAAGCCATGCTGGACGGCATTATCAGTTTTATACAGCGCCAGCTGAATTAAAGGTGGAGATGTGTACCTTCCCCGAGCGCCCAGCTCCGCCCCTGCCCCCAGCAGCTGACACTCTGCCCTAGTCCGGTCGGTGCAGTCGTCTTTGGCTGTGACTCACTCTGCTGCCTTTCTCTGAGCGTGTCAAAACAGAGCTTGCTGCCTGAGCTGTAAAATCATGGGAAGAGAAGTAAAATGCGGAGTCTTCTTTGGAAGAAACTGTTATGTCCCTGAAGAAGAAAAAGAAAAAAAGCCGGGCATGGTGACCCATCAGCGCTTTGGGAGGCTGAGACAAGTTCAAGCCCAGCCCTGGGAATTGAGTGACTTAGCAAAACTCTATCCCAAAAAATAAAAAAGTACTAGGGCTGTAGCTCAGTAAGAAGACCCTAGGTTCAATCCCTGATATTGGGGTAAAAATAATAAAATTAAAAAGGGTAGGTGGGAGGTTGCACAGAAGCGTGATCAGATGAAAAAAAAAGACTTCAGGGGTGTGGGTGTCTTCTTATAAGCAACTGAGAAAACCTCACTTAATTCACTCACGTCGGGAGGGCGCTGTAGCGCTGTGGTAGACTGCTTGCCTACAATATGTACGGTCCTGGGGAAAAAGCAGCATAGAGTGGAGTTTTAAAATCATACCTCTGGCCGAGCGTGTTGACGTACGCCTGTAATCCCAGCTCTCTACTCGGGAGGCTGAGGCAGGAGGATCGCTGGGAGTTCGAGACCAGCCTGGGCTACATAGTGAGTTCCAGATCAGTCTCAACTACAGAGTGAGACCCTGTCTCACAAACCAAAAACAAAACAAATAAAATCATACCTCTGACACTGCAGAAATGTGATCTTCAGCAAGTCACTGAATTCAGTTACAGTGCCCACCTCACAATCTTACAATAAGAAGGAAATGAGGTGGTGGAGTACATATCTCTAACCCCAGCACTCTGGGAGAGTGAGGCAGGAGGATTAGAAATTTAAACCCAGCCTGGGAAATTGGCAATTTAACGAGACCATGTCTTCAAGTAAAACAGAGCCCGGTGTGGTTGTGCACGCCTGTAATCCCAGCCCTGGGGAATGTAAAGATCGAATCGAGTTTGAGGCCAGTCTGGGTTACATAGTGAGTTCAAAGCCAGCCTGAACTACACAGCAAGACTCCATCTTAAAAAACAAATAGTCTGAGGATGGGGATGCTACTCAGTGCCTGGGTTCATTTCTAGTTCTATAACAACAACAACAAAGGAAAATATATGATAAACTGCAATAAAAAAATTTTTTTTGGTACTAGGGATCGAACTCGGGACTTTGGGCTTGCGAGGCCGGCGGTGGAACCACTGAGATAAATCCCTGGCCCTCTGCAATAAGATATTCTGTAAATGCTAAAGTATTGACATAATCATGGCATGGAGACCATCATAGGTACAAAGGATTAACAAACTCCTAGGCTCTAACCTGTTACTCATCAAAAGCATGATTTGTTTTTCTTCTGAGGCAATCAGGAACTTCCAGGCCATTTTGCAACCCTTCATTTGGGACTAAGAATGACCAGTGGGTAATTAAAAACAAAACAAAGCTTAATTTTCGTTTTGTTGTTTTGTTTTGAGACAGGGTCTCACTGTCTAATTTAGACTGACCTGGAACTCACTATGTAGCCCAGACTGGTCTCCAACTCACAGTGATCCTCCTGCCTCAGCCTCCCGAGTGCTGTGATTACAGGCGTGTGCCACCACACCCAGCTTTGACTTTCATTTTGTAGAACTCGGTCAAGTCCTCCTCAGCTCTGCACATAGGCATGTTAGTCATTTGGGGAATGTCTATCTCAATGTTGGCAGAACATGGAAACAATGTGCATCGGCCCTAAATTTTCCTGGCCTATCTTATCTCCCTTCAAGATGAGGACACAGGGTAAGAGTCACAGGGAAGTCTCCGCCTCCCTAACCCTTGTTCATCTTGGAATCCAGCCTTGCCTGGCAGGACTGAGATTGCCCCTTGGGTCATGAGGATTCCACCCTCCAATCCAAACTGCCCCTCAGGTCACAGGGGTCAGTCTGAGCTGAAAAGACTGAGGTAATGATGGCCCAGACCCTGGCTCACCTGCTCTTGGGGCTGGGCCATCTGACTCCCTCCCTCGGAGTGGACCCCACCCCACCAGCTATGCCAGCTGGGGACCTTTCCTTATCTGCTCTCACATTCTTCCTTGGGGACCTGCTTGATCTTTGTCAGGGCCCTGCTCCCCTTTATTTTCTTTTTTCTTCTTCTTTTTTTTTTTTTTTTTTTTTTTTTTTTTTTTTTTTTTTTAGATAGAGTTTTTCTATGCACTTTAGTCTGGCTTCTAACTCACTATGTAGCCCAGGCTGGCCTTGAACTTGCAGTGATCCTCCTGTCTCAGCCTTCCAAGTACCCAGATTACAGGCTTGTGCCGCTACACCCAGCCTATTTTCTCTTACTCTCAAAGCCTTTTCCTGCAAATTAGTGCTTAGTTTTAATATGTGTTATCACTAAAGCAAAGACCCGTGCTAGCTGGTGACAGTTTCAATTTGTAAAGGATTTTGTTCTTCACTCCCCCCACCCACCCCCATGGTACCGGGAATCAAACTCAGTGAGACAGGAGCAACGCCACTCAGCTAAATTCCCCATCCTAAGGATTATTATTCTTAGCATTTTGTGTTTGCAGTTTGTAATTCAACACAGGATCGGATTTTCAGCTCATCTTCCATCAGCATGTGTTTGAATCCACTAAGGTTACAAGATTAACCACACTCTCACTTTTCTGCTTCCTGAGTCACCACCAGGGAGAAGTCAGAACTTCCTCCCCAAGTGGCTTCCCTGTCTGACCCATCCCACCTCCGCCCTGGGATAGAGCTCCCTGGAATTCACAGTCCGTGGTCACAAACAGAAAGCGTCCCCACCCCAGCTCTTCCCTCCTGCTCCCTGCTGCGCTGTCCCCACTGCCTTTTCCGTGGGGCTTTTTCTTCTACCCCAGCCTCAGCCCGGGGGCCCATGCCTCCCTCCCTGCTGCAGTTTCCGGATCTTTGCTTCCCTGCCCTGGCTGGGTTCCTCACTTCCCTCCTCAGTATTAACAGCCCCATCCTGGATTCACTCTCATTCAATGAGACACCGGTCCCCTTCTGCTTTTCCACCCACTTTCTGTCATCACATTCAACATGGCCTACACCCTTCAAAGCCTCTTTGTGTGTGTGTGTATGTGTGTGTGTGTGTGTGTGTGTGTGTGTTTGTCCTGGGGGTCACCCAGGCCTATTCAACATGGCCTACACCCTTCAAAGCCTCTTTGTGTGTGTGTGTATGTGTGTGTGTGTGTGTGTGTGTGTTTGTCCTGGGGATTGAACCCAGGCCTTCTCTCTAAACTACCTCCCCAGACACCAACACCCTGCATTTTGAGACATCTCACTAAATTGCCAGAGCATGGCTCAGACTTATAATATTCCTGCCTCAGCCTCCCAGACTGGTGGAATTACAAGCATGTACCCGGCATGCCCAGCTTTCTCAAAGCCTTCTGCCTTCTGTCCTCAGACACCACCTCCTGCAGACACATCTTGGGCCTCATCACCAGAAGCCCGGAAGCCATCCAGCCCGTCCGTCCGCTCACACATTAGCACACCCCTCTGGTGAGCAGTGCTTCCTCCCCAGCCCGGATGAGCCTGTGAAACTGTTCTGCAGCACCAGCCCCACCATGCATATGACAGGGGGATAAGTGAAGGAGCCGATGAAGGGGGGCTTCTTAGGGGGGCTCGGAGGCCGCGACTTCCCCAGAGACTAGCAGGGGCTCCTCTGTGGGGATCCCCAAAGCTAAGACCTCATAACCCCACAGCCAGCAGCCTGGGAGCCCCTCTGTCCCTTCCACCCCGTCCTTCCAGGGCCGCCTCCTTCTCTCCTGCTGCTGTCCCCCATGGCCACCACTGGGCATCCAGGCAGAGAAGCCAGGCAGTGAGCAGCTCCTCCAGGCTCAGCTCAGGGGGAGGGGAAGGGAGCGGAGGGCCAGGGCCGCCCCAGTCAGGGGTCACAGCCCTTGCTCTGGGCTGCACTCTGTCCCTGGTCAGCTTGGACAGTCGCTTCCCTCTGGGCCCCAAGTCCATCTCAGAACCACGAGAACAGGACTGACACCCCTGAAGGGCCAGATTCTCCTACCCACAGGCTGGCCCAATGGGTGGCAGTCAGCGGCCTCCAGGGCAGGTGCCCAGGTGGCCGGAGTTAGGGGTGGAGAACACAGACCCCAGAGAGAACATACAGGAGCTCAGGCCTCTGTTTCTGCGGACCAGAGCCGGCAGGCAGACGGGGCCCAGAGGCCTCAGTAGTTTCAGATGCCTCTAGGGCTCCTCTTCCCACCCCTGTCTAGCTGTGCTGTGACCACAGGCAAATCACCTACTCTGAGTTTCTTCACCTGTTGAATAGACTTACTCCTTCCAAGTCTACTTCCCCAGAGACACAAGGCATAGGTGCCTTTGCGTTAAAGGCCCTACAGAGGTGACAGGGTGGCCAGGCCCTCCCCGCCGTGCTGCCTCAGTGAGGGCCAAGGCCACACTGCACGTAAGCAGGGCCTGATGGTCTCTTGTACCCAGGGCTGCGGACTGACCTCCCAGAGGGGCCCCCCAGCACCGTCCCCTCCACGGGTGGCTTCAGGTTTCTCCTCACCCTGCCCGGCTACGTGACCTGGCGTCTCACTCCAAACAAGGTCTCTGCCCTGACTGACTCACTTTGCCAGTGCCTCCCAACATCTCCCGCTGGTGAGGGCCCTGCTCCGGAGGGCTGGCAGGGACAGGCGACCTGGTGAAGCCAGGTGCCCAGGCCACATTTGCCATCCCACCACCCCACCACTCCACCCCCACGGAACTGGCCTTCCTCCCCCGCTCCCAGCCTAGCACGGGGCGTGGTCACCCACTGGGACAAAGGTGGAGGAGGGCTGTTCTTCATGCCTGGCAAGTGAGGGAGAAGCTGGCTCTGCAGAGCAAGCTTGGGCTGAGTAAGAGGAAAAAGTAAGATAAACAAACACCCCAGAGAAAGCAGGGCAGGCTATGTTGAGGACAGCCGTGATAGTTTTTTGTTTGTTTGTTTTTTGAGACGGGGTCTCACCATGTAGTTCAGACTGGCTTGAACTCACTATGTAGCACAGGCCGGCCTCAGACTCACACTGATCCTCCTGCCTCAGCCTCCCAGTCGGAGTGCTGGGGTTACACATGTTCATCACCACGCCCAGAGATTCTAATTCACGGCCCTAAACCATCTCCCTTCTGGCTGTTGACTAATTCAGTCACCGGCTGATGAGTGTACTTTTTTATGATAGAAATTAAACCTAAAATGACAGTGTGGCTCTAAGAAGCTGCTGGAAAGGGCACAGTCTGACGGAGGAGTGTGGCCTGAAAGGGAGACTTGTTCTTAGGGTGCTGTGGTGGGCCTGGATCCAGTGGATCACTACCTCAGTCCTAGTTTCACGGCTCCAGAGGGACCCTCGTGTCTCCAGTCTTAAAGGGCCAGAGACAAGCTTGGTCAATTTTGGGCTGAAAAACCTTGTTCTGCTAATGTTTAGACAGACGCTCGCTCCCTAACAGGCCTACATGCAGACTGAGAAGGACTTGACTGCTCTACAAAATAAAGGTCAAGCTTTGTTGTACTTTCAGGTACCTATTGGAAATCTGTAGGCCCAAATGAAGAGTTAGTTTTAAGAGAATTCACTTTTAAGTCCCTATGTATCTTAGAAGAAAACACAAATCTTTTTTTCTTTTTTTTTTTAGACGCTTTTGCTATGTGGCTCAGGCTGGCCTTGTACCCGCAGCAATCCTCCTGGTGGAACCAGGAGGTGTGCAGCACCACACCTGGCAACAAATCATACTCAAAAGCTTGTGATCCCAGCACTTAGGAGGCTGAGTCAGGAGGACTGCCGTGAGTTTAAGGCCAGCCTAAATTGCATACGGAGGCCCTGTCTCAAAAAAACAAACAAAAGCTACTTTAACAGTTGTTGTGGTTTGGGTCTGGATGTTCCCCTAAAGCCTCTTTCGGTCAGTGGTGGCTGAATCTGGAGTGTGTGATGCTGGAGTGAAGGGCCTGTGGTTACTAAACCAGTACACATGATTAGACTGGCAGCGCCCTACTCCCAGTAGCCTGGGTAGGATAAAAGGCAGAAAGACAGGCTGACGCGCTTGTTTTGTTTTGTGGTCTTCCACAGCCACGGACGGTTGTCCCTCCTGCTGCCTTTTGCTCCCTTGTGTGCCATGTTGTTTCTCCTCTGCCAGGCCTGTTCACCATCCCTGCCTTGGACCAGCTCATTATGGTCTGAAGCCTCTATGAACTGAAAGCCAAATAAGCCCCTTCCCCTCTAACTTTGGGTGTTGGGTATTTTTTCTCAGCAACAAGAAAAGTAACTAACACGGGGCCCTCTGTGTCCACAGGGACCATATCCATGGGTTCCACCAGCCACAGACAGAAAGCACTCGGAATACAAATGGTGCCTCCTGAGCAAGTGCAGTCAGTGCTCACTGAAGAGCCTGGTGCAGCTGCTCACACAGCGTTCAGGCTGTATCGGGCGTTGCATCATCGAGAGACGACGGAAGTGCGGGGAGGCTGTGCGCGGGAATCTGCAAATATCACGTTGTTTTACAGCCGGCAGCTGGGTGTCCATGGGTCCTGGGAGGAATGCCCTGATGACCGTGCTGCCGCGTGCAAAGCCTTTCGATGCTGTCACAGTGCCTTGCTGAGGAGAGGTAGCAGTGTCCTCTGCAGGGATGAGAAGGCCAAGCCCTGCCACAAGCAGGGTGTCCTGGGCCCGGCAGAGACCTGGCACTCCGGGCTTAGACGGCAAAATCCTGCTCAGGCCAAAGCTCTACTCAGAAAAGGTCCAGGCTGGACCCTGCCTTGCCTGGGACACACAAGCACCACGAGCTTTTCTTCTGTGTTGTGCTGTGTGGAAAGGGCAGGTGCCTATTCTGGAAGCCAAAGGCTACTAGCAAGCTGGGCTGCAACCTTCGGGGATCCCTGAGAGGACAGGACATTCAGACGAGAGCTTGAGTGGGCGGCGAGAGGCCTCTGCAGCTCAGGCAGCTGAGGGGGTGGTCAGCTACTAGGGCCTGGACACAGCTCAGGCTCAGAACAGGGCCTGATGAGGTCATCTGCATCAGGATGGCCCTGGGAGGTTCCCATGGCAACAGCCAGCCAGTCCAGCTCTGTCCTTGGTTCCCCAGGGGAGGCTGGGAGGGCTCCCTGAAGGAGCAGAAGTCTTGGCCCACCAGGAGTCCACCCCCCACTTGCACCCCAGAACAGGTGGGAGGGAAAGGCTGGCTCCTGGAGCACCTGGGAGGCAGGACAGACGGGAGATCCCGGAGGTGACCAGGGCCACAGGTGGCAAAGGGCTGAGCTGAGTGCACCAGAGGAAAGAAGCCAAGGAGAGGAGCGGGGGCTCAACAGCGAGAGGCCAGGAAGGACAAGAGGAGCAGACTGGGGGCCCACTGGGAAAGGAGTTTGGGCGACTCACCGGAGGAATAGAATTTTACCTCTGAAGGGGAAGGCCCAAGAGGGTTTCTCTCAAGCTAGTGATTCCCAAGCCACCAGGCTGGGCCCTCAGGGTGCTGGGGTGCTGTTAAGGGAGCTCCCCTAGAAAGGACAGGAGCCAGGTACAGCCAAGGCCAAGGGCCTAGACTGGAAGGGCCCAACCTGGACCCTAGATGGCCACCGGGGGCTGGCCAGGAACTGCCCCCAGCCATGTGGGGAGGACAGCGCGTCCCTGGCTCCATCTCCATGCACTGGCCCCCGGTCCACCTGAGGAATGTTGTCCACACGGCCGGGCGCCCAGAACGGTCCTGGCACTGGGCCGGTCTGCACTTGCTTCTCTCAGCCTCCATTCCAGAAACAGAAGACTCCTCCCTACAGCTGTCCAGTCTGGACCTTCCGCCTGGGAGGAAGGTCTTCCCTAGGCACAACTGCAGTCATCCTGCAGCAGGACGCAGGCTCCACGGGACGCTACGCCTTGGGTCCAGCACCTCTGTGTTCCTGGTACACACTAGGTGACAGACGTTTGCAGGAGTTCCACCGGCAGCCCTGCCTGCCCACACCATATTAAATGTTTATACACGTAAATGCTGCAAAAAGTGTCCCACAGCACCTGCTGAGTACTCAGAATGCCCTTCCAGGGCCTGGGATCCCTCCCTGACCCACCCCACTGTCAGAGTCCCACCGAGGCCAAGAAGCCAGCCCAGTGGGGCAGCCCTCAGGGAGGCCCCAGTCACGGGCTGGGCTGGGCCAGGGCAGCAGGGTCTGCAGCACAAATGGAGCCTGGGTGCCACCTAGTGGCCCCCTCTCCTGCCCAGCCCGACACCACGCCAGGTGAGAGCTCTCTGACCTTCCACCTTACTTCAAGACGCAAAAGTTGAATGCCAAAGCCAGGGCAGCCATCGCTTTATTTAACCTCTTTTTCAACCCTTCAGTCCCTCTTTGAGGATGAGGAGCCCAAGGTTCAGAGATTAACTTGCCCAAGATCACTCCGCCAAGTAGGCCCAAGGCTCAGACTCCAAAGCCAGTGCAGTCACCTTTCCCAGGGTGTAGGCAGCCAGCTGTGGGCACAGGGCAAGGCCCCGCCCCGAGGGAGGGCCTGAGCTTGGGGGAAGGCATCCAGGGAAAAGACGGAGAAAAGCTGAGTGCCAGGCCCTCTGGTCGCAGGGTGCGGTGGCCCCAAGTCACGGACAGCTCTGCCACGAGCCCACAGTTCACAGGGAAAGTCAGGCCACGCGAGAGGCAGAGGAAAGGGACTTCAGCCCCTGGAGACAGCTGCTCCCAAATCTAACAAACCCCACAGCAAGCCCTGGTGCTGGGCCTCCCGCCAGGGATTCTAGTCAGTCTCCAGAGGCGCTGGGCCAGGGTGGGGTGAAGGCTCTCTGGCTTTTCTAAGAATCCGAATGCCCCACCCCCAACAGGGCCCCTTCCCATACCCCTCACAGGGGCCTGTGCATTTGCACACATTTGCATAGACAGCAGGCAGGTCCAGATAAGGCCTTTTCTAGAGAAAGTGGTCTCAGTGCAGGGCTGGGTGCTGCTCTCCTCTGTGAAGGACACCCAAGGACACCAGCCAGCCAGAGGCCAGTGGAATGGTCTGCTGAAGCCAGGAGTCAGTGAGGTACTCCAGGCTGAGGCCAGGCCCACACACAGGGCTCAGCCTCGGTGGTAGTGCTGGGGGTGGTGGCTGTGCTCCTCCCTGGGCCCCACAAGTCTGGGGCTCCGAAAGTGCTTGTCCTTCTTCCCTGACCTGTGGGGGACACAGGGTGGAGGAGAAAGAGGCCTTGAGGAGATAGGAGGGGATCCTGTTCCCCTTAAGGAAGCCAGCCCAGGTGGCCACCACCACGCATGGAGGGGAAAAGCTGGCCTCCCAGGATGGAGGCTCTCACTGGGGAGGCAGGGAGCTGGGGTCTTCTGTACACCCCAGGCCAGGAGGTGCGGGCTGGGCAGGACAGCTCAGGAGAACCCCTGGCCCCATCCCAAAAGGGACTCCTCAGGACCCTGGGCGCCCCAAGGGAAGACAGCAAGTGCATCTGGATGTTTCTCAAAAGGACGCGAGCCAGGGACCAGAAGTCCTTAAAGACCCCACGAGGGGCCCATGCTCCTGCACCTCCTTCCCAGATGTGCCCACCTCCTCTTCAGTGCCTTGTCTCCCAAGAAGTGGCTGAAGATGAAGTCCTCGAAGTCATCTACCTCATCGTCATCGCCTGTCCACCTCACTGCCAACTCCTCCAGGCTGTCCTCCAAGGCATCCACGAAATCCCGGAAGCGGAGGCGGTCATGCCGGAAGAGGCCATCCTCACCAAAGTAGGCAGGTGAGAGGGGCAGTTCCTTGGCCAGCCGCCCGGCCCAGGGAAGCTGCTCAAGATATGTCCTCAGCACAGAGGCCAGCTCCTGTTGCCGCACGGGAGCCAGCTCGGAGCCGAAGAAGGCCAGGCCCTCCTGCCGGGCACATCCAGCCACGCCTGAGCAGCCCTGGGGTGCCTTGTACTTGCGCCTCAGCAGGTCCTCCCAATGGGGCCAGGGGTCCTGACTGTCTTTAGCGCCCTCCCTCCCCCGGGGACTCTCCTGCCTTTCTCCGGAGTGGTGACTCCCGCTCTTCCACGCGGGTTCCTTGGGGTCCTGTCTTTTCCCGTCCTTCCAGGCCCGCTTCTCCCCCCTCGGTTTGTCCTCCTTCCAGCTCCCTGCCGGCTCCCCATCCTCACCCCCGGAGCTCTTCCTCTTCTCCCAGCTGGACTCCTTCCTGTGCTTCCAGGGCTCAGCTTTCCCAACCCTCTGTCCATCGCGCCACTTCTCCTTGCCAACCCTCTGGGGCTTCTGATGCCAAGCCTCTGAGGCATTGGCAGGGGCCCCCGGGTCCTGGCCCCATTTCTGCAGGCCCCTCAGAGTCTGGGCCAGTCTGTGGCCCAGCTCGGCCAGGCCAGCGTGAGCAGGGTCCCCTTGGCGGGCGTCCCGCAAGCTCCTCTGCAGGTCCTGCTGCACAGAGCTCAGCAGCTGCCGCTGTCTCTGCAGCTCCCTCCTCAGCACCTGGGCTTCTGCCTCCAGCTGCGCCTTCTCCTCTAGGAAGCCAGACCCTGGGTCCTGCCCCCGGTGGCCTTGCTCCGTGGTGGCCTTGCCACCCTGTGGGCTGTGGCCCCCGCTGAGGCACGCCCCATCGGGGCCCCGCGTGCAGTCAGCCCCCAGTGCCTGGAGCCGGGTCCTCAGCTGCTGCAACTCTGACTCAAGGGCCCGCTGGGAGGCCTCGCCCTGCTGCAAGGCCCCCCGGAGCCGGGCGTTCTCCTCCTCCAGCCCTTTGGGCTGCTGCATCAGGCTCTGAAGCTCTTCTTTCTGGGCCTAGAATGGGGTTAGAGATGGAAGAAGCCACAAGAAGTGCTTGTCGGGACCGGCCCCGTGCCTTCCATCTCAGTACCTTCCCACCATTGCCGACAGGCAACCAAGCCATGGACGGCCGGGACCTCATCTCCTCCCAATGCCTCCCCTCCCTAGAACAGGCCCTGGAGCTCCCAAATTCTATCCTGAGCCTAACATCTGTGTCCTCACATAAGCACATTTCTTCTCTCCCCTAAAGGTAGCCACTGTGCAGCTCCAGTGGCCCCATCTCCACAATGTACCCAGAGCCAACTCTGACAAGTGATCACGGTTCCTGGCATGAGCCTTGGGTGGTCTTCAAACCCTTCTCTGCACAGCACTCAAAGGATGAACGTAACAGTTATTCAGCGGTGAAATACCATGAAACATACCCACCAACCCTGGTACAGACTTTGGCAGGAGGAATGCAAACACAGAACTGGGAAAGCTCACGGTGTATGCTGGAAAGGGTAAACTCCTTTTTGGGACGGACACCTGGCTAACTGACCCCATGCCCTCCTTCCTATGCCTACCTGCAGCTGGGCCTGCAGCAGCCGGATATCCTGGTTCTCCTTAGCCAGCCTGTCCAGCAGAAGGCCCATGTTCTGCAGGCTGGGGACACTGTCAGTGGAAACGGAGGCCTGCGGCTGTTCCCTCAGTCCATCCTGAGGACAGAAGAACCAGCTACCTCATGCTATCCTACAGCCCAGCTGCCCAGGTTCCCACCAGGCCCCGCTGTGGAGACCTCCACACATACCTGCCCATCCCCCACGGCACCCACCAAGTCAGGGTCTGAGCCAGCATCGGAGAAGACCTGCAGCTCTGCTTCCTCCATGGGCCCTGCAGGAAAATGAGGCTTGGTCCCAGCCCCACCCCACCCCACTGTCGTGCTGAGAGCAACCTGTGGCCCAGCCCCGCTGGTAAAGGTGTCGCCTGCACAGCCCATACAGTCATAAAGTAGGAAATCACATGCTCCCCAAACAATACCAACTGCTCCCGACGCAACAAACACACACAGGCAGGTGCCAGGGCCCTCCCTGCTCACCCGGCTCCGACTCGGAGAGGCCACCTGCGGATGGAGACAGAGCCTAGTGAAGCCTCGGGGAGGGGTTGAAGGGTAAGGTGTGAGCAGGCAGGAGGGCAAGCGAGGCTCCACTCACCAGAGAAGAGGAGGACTCCCAGGCCCAGCAGAACCAGGGCCCCAAGGAGGCACATGTTGAGTGAGATGCCCAGCTCCCCGCTGGCACCCTCACCCCTGGCCTGGTCCTCCACGCCCAAGGGTGTCACTGTCTGAGGCGGGCTGAGTTGGCGGCCCCGACGTCTCCGCAGACCCTCCATGTCCACGTCGGTGTCCTCCTCACTGGTGGAGCAGCGGCCCTCCTCCAGAATCCAAGCTAGGGATGGAACAGGACAGTGAAGCCGCTAGAGACAGGACGCAGAGGGAAATGGAGGAAGGCACAGAGGCCCCAAGCCTGCCATACCCTGCCCGTTCCTGCTGGATACTGAGCACTGCCCCCGCCAGAATGGAGACAGGAGACCTGTCCTTTCAATCTACAAAGGACAAGAGCATCTGGGCATGGTGGTGCAGGCCTGTAATCCCTGCACTCCAGGAGGCTGAGGCAGGAGGACTGCAAGTTTGAGCCCAGCCTGGGCAACTTAGTGAGACCCTGTCTCAAAATGAAAAATGAATAAAAGGCTGGGGTTGTAGCTCATGCAAAGGCCCTGGGTTCAATCCCTTGTACTAAAAAAAAAAAAAAGAAAAGAAGAGTCACTTCCATCCTTAAACGATCCCTCCTTCCTCCAGGATGGAGCTCGTGTCGAGCTCGTGTCAAGCTCCTGCAGGGGTCACCATCCATCCAACCCCCGGGACCCTCCGAATGTGCCTTCTCAACCTGCTCCCTAGCTGGTCTCTGCTCCTGTAACTGCAGTGTCTTCCTGCCGCCACCTCGGCCTCTGCTTCTCTCTGTCCACAGGTCACAACCCTCTTACCCGACCCCCACTATGGCCCGCAAGTCCCTGGCCTGGAACCCTTCCTCGCCTCCAGGGAGACAAAGACTGTGTAAATGCCTCACACTCCTAGACATCCACAGGACCAGGGTGCCTCCTCTCTGTTCCCTCAGTTCAGGGAAAAGTACCACTGTGGCCACGGGCTGTCCTAAGTCCTCCCTCTTTGCTTCCCACTGAGAACTCGTGTCCTGAGCCTCCCGTCTACCTTCCTCACCCAGGAGCAGCCTTGATTCAGGTCGGAGCCCTGCAGGGCCCGGCTCTGCCTCCGTGTCCCCACAGCGACAGCTCCAGCACGGCTCTCCCACAGCCATGGGCCTACTGTGCACTGCGGATGCTGAAGCCGTGGCCCGGAACGTCCTCTTCTCCTGCCCTTCCTACTTCCCTCTCCTGTGCTTGAGGGGCCACTCAGATGGCGCCTTCAGCTGTTCTCCCTTGCCTCAGCCTGTCCTGGCTGGACTACGCCCTCTCCACTGGGAGCCCTTTGTCACCTGCCCTCGGTGGCCTCCTGGGTCTGACCGGCACTCTGGCTGGGCCTGGTCCGCTCCTTAGAGGCCATGAAGCACCCTCCTTTCCCTGCTCCCAGGCCCTGAGTGGGCACCAGAGAGCAACTGCAGACGAAGACTGAGTCGTGGAAGCAGGAAGTAGCGGCACCGGGGCAGGGAAGGGTGGGCCAGCTGGGGCACTGTGACCCTGCTCAAGCTCTCTGGGCCGAGACCTCAGCGGTGTGTCGAGCAAGGACCTGAGCCCCTGCCCCACCCGTATGGATGGCTGCTCCCTCCACACCTTCCAGGAGGCCAGCAAAGGACTCTCACCTGTTTTGGGGGTGGAGGGCAGACTCTGCAGGGTGCCCTGGTCCTCCATGTCTTGTGTATTTGTGTCTGTGCCTAGGCTTGCTGCCTCCTGCAAGGCTCCCTGGAGCACTGTGTCTCCTGGGCCAGGGGGCTCCACACCAAGGCCATCACCGCCCACAGCAGCCTGCTGGGGACACAGCCTTGAGCAGCATCTGCCCTGTCCACCTCCCGCCCGCCCCTGGTGAGGGTCCTCACCTCACCTCAGCCCCAGTGTCCTTGGGCACAGTGGAACCGGCAGGGGGGCTTTCTGTCTGGAAGAAGTTCTCTGTGGAGAGAGAAAGGCTGACTTCCTACACCACCTCTGGCTCCCACACACCCCTGCCAGGCTGGAAGACTGAGCAGACCACCTCACCCCCTGGAAATGGGCACCACACCACTGCCCTCCACGGAGCCCTGTTACCTTCTCCGCCCGAGGTCCCAGCTGATTCTTCACCATCTGCCTGGGAGGTGCTTCCAGGCATCTGGGGGCCTCTCTGAGACTCAGCGTCTGTCCCAGGTTCTGGCCCCAGGGTCTCCACAGGCAGACTCTAGAGGGAGAGGGTTAGCAGGGTTACTTAGAAGGAGGGTAGCAGGGCAAAACCAGGAAGGAGCAGGGATGCTGTGCTGGGGTCCCTGGGGCCAGCTGCACATCCAAAAGTACTGCTCGGTGGAGGTAGGAGAGCCGTCCCCACTGGGTCCGGCTCAGCCATTTCCTGACCTCAGGGCTGCTGTGAGGAACCCACAGAGGCTAGGGGAAGATGCCACCTTCTCGGCATCAGTGGTTTCTTGAGTGCCCAAGCGTCAGAGTCATTGCTCCCAGGGTGCTCCTGCAGCTGCCCATCTGGTTATATCCTCTGTATTCTTCTGCCTTTCCCTGCCTAGCAGCTGCTGGCAGAAGCCCAGGTGCTGCCCCAGACTGCCTGGCTCCTGGGAGCTCAAAGCCCAGCCCCAGCCTCTGTGTGTGCCCACTGCCGCCCCCACCTCCCACGGCTCCTGCGACCCCTCCAAGAATAATTCTGGACCTCTGCATGTTTCTTTGCAGCTTTCAAACTACATTTTTCTCGTGGCCTTGTCTACAACACTAGACTCACACCCTCATCCCTCAGCCATCAGCCAGGACACCCGGGTCAGGGCTGCCCGAGCCTGCCGCCGCTCACCTGCCGCCCCTCTGCCAGCACATCCAGGTGGGTGTCCTCTTCCAGTGCCACGTCTACGTCAACTCCTCCCCTCCCCTCCTAACGGTCCCAACGTTGCAGTCACAGGGATTGGAGATTTTTCCTCTGACACACTGCCAGGCCCCACCTCACCAACCCCTCTTTCTTTTCAGGACTCAGGAGCCCTCTGGATTGCTCTACACCAACTGCTATTGCATGGCTATAGGAGCATGAGACAAACTCACTCCCACACAGCAGCTTGGCCTCTTCCAAGGCGATACCTGTCCTCCAACTCAGAGCCCTTAACTGACTGCCAGTGAGGAGGAGGCCTGGCCACCTAGGCACATGGGTTCCAGGGTTCCCAGGGCCCACCCTGCCCTCCCTCCGACACGGCAGCAATGGCTTCCTCAGAGCCTTCCCCACACACCTCTCCCACTGTGACCTCAGTGACGTCAGCTCTTGCTGGTCTCCCCACTAGAATGCTTTCCCTGTTCCTCTCAGCTGACCTAATCACCCTGCTTTCAGGTGCAACCCAAGGCCCAGTAGCCAGCCATGAGGCCAGATCTCCTCTCTGCTACAGGAATTCCTCTAGCAGCCAGCAGGAGGCAGCATAGGGGACCATCAGGACCAAGGAAAAGGACACACCAGGAAGCAGCCCAGCCTGGTTTCCAGGCATGCTCCTCCTACCTCTGCACCAGCAAGCACCCAGCTATTATCCGAGTCTGGGCAGGAAGTCATAGCTGCTGAGGTCCCTGAGGCCACAGTGTCTGCCACCTGCAAAGAAAGACTCTGGTAAGGACCGGAGTTCCCTTCAGGAGAGAGGACAGTCTTGGTTGGCTTCAAAGGTCAAGGGCTGGGCAGCAGCCCCCCAAGCCCAGGCTGGTTCCAGGACTTTTAACCCTATGCCTTAGCTCTTCTGAGCAGTATTTACCTTGCAAAGCAGCACCTGCCAACAGCCACAGGGAAGCTGCCTCTTCCAGGGATCCACTGGCTATGGAAAACTGAACAGAGATCCTGAAAGGTCAAAAGCACCAACAGGGCCAGGGATTTAGCTCAGTGGTTCCACTGCCTGCCTGGCAAGCACAAGGACCTGAGTTCTATCCTGGATACCAAAAATAAAGGGCACCGAGGGCTGGAAAGGCTCTGGAGTACAACTCCCTGAGGTTATGGGAGAGGAAGAAGCCCAGGAAAGCTGACTGATGACTTTCCGAAGACATTCCAAAGCTAAGAGTGACAAAAACAAAGCAGAGAAGCCTACTGCACACCCAAACCACCACCTGTTCCCTCAGGGCCTGGACAGAAGCAGCTGTGATGGCCGCCCACAGCCTCCCCACCACCCCGTCCTGTGTGGCCTGGCTCAGGCTCTGACTCCAGTGCACGCTGGCTCTCTGTGACTGATCCCGGGGTGAAAGCCCCTCCGATGGTGCTCAGGTACAGCCAGGCTGAGAGCCCACCTTTGCCAATCTCCTCATCACTCTCCGTCCTAAATTCTGTTTCCCTTCTCAGTAATCTGCAGAGCTTGGTCATAGGGAACTTGAAGGTGACCAGGAAAAGGGATTTATGTCAACGATCATGTATAAATCACTTCATAGTTGCAAAAAAACAGACAGAAATAAGGACTCTTGTGCTACCTGTTGCGAATATATTAGCTGTCTTGGCAAGGTGGGGGCATAGAGCAAGGTGAAAAGAGAGGGACCCCCTCCTTCAACGAAGGCTGGGGAGCAGGGTCAGAAGCAGGCACAAGGGGGGAGTGACACATAAGCTGATCCCTAGTGCGTGACCATGACCCTTCAGAGGAAGACAAATGAAGGCTTCCGGGGGGAGAGGAGGGAGCAAGCAGAAGCTGACTCAGTCGGGAATGCTGGGGAAGGGGCAGGCCAGCAGCTCCCTCCTCTTAGCTGGCTTTAAATCCATGTGGTGCCTGGACGACCTGTGGCTCTCACCAGTCAAAACCCAGGCCCAGGAGTCAGGGATTTAGCTCAGTGGTTCCAGCATCTGCCTCACAAGCACAAGTACCAAGTTCGATCCCTGGTACAAAGAAAAAAATATCCAGGCCCAGGACCGGTGACCGACACCTGCCAGTCTCACCCCTTATGCTCAAACCTCCCAGACACATGCACCCTCCCCACAGAGCCAGGGATGGGCAGTACCTTTCCCCACTGCCCAAGGATACCCGCAGACAGCACTGTTCAGCCTCTGGTCTCAGCCCTCCCCCAACACTATCATCTTCCCCTGCTGCGTATCACTGTTAACAGGTGGTGGCAGGAAGGAAGTGGCAGCAGCTTGGGCTGAAGTCCCTGTTTATCCCTCGCTGTGTACAGCCTGCTCAGGTCCTCCAGAACAAGGTACCATGGCAACCAGGGTGATGTCGGGCAGACCCACCGTCTCCAAGGAAACCAGCAATGGTATTTGGGTCACCAAGACAAACACTTCTGAAACCCAAACAAGGGACAGTGTGGAACCTCTCCAGTGTCCCAAATCCTGAGACTTTTCTCTTGGCTGTATTCATCCAAGATCCTAAAATAGATCCCAGTTCTCCACAGCCAGCATCTCACTGCCTTATTAGGAAGTTCGTTCTGCTTGCTGTCTGATCTGCCTGCTTCCCTGCTGTTTTGAGAGCTTTTTCTTCTTATCTATGTCTCAGAAGAAAACCTACTGCCTCCTCACTATTCCCTTCCTATCCATTCAGCAGGATTCAACAAAAACATTCCGTAAGGTTCGTCAAAACTTCTGCTCTTTCTAAAAGACAGCTAAAGGGGGAGCTCTCCCACTCTGTATAAAGCCAGGAAGTCGCAGCTCCAACTGTTTTCAACCCTTCTCACAGTTGCTTCCCAAACTCCAAGGCAAAGGACATAGGGCCAAAAGAGCCCGCCTGAGGACCCAGAGCAAGTGCCCGCCTAGCAAATACCCGCCCCGCTTCCCCCAGCCCTAGGTCCTTTGAAAAGCTGCTCTGTGGACCCGGGTGGCAGCCATGCCTTCTAGGGCTCTGTCCTGCCCTCCAGGAATCCCTTCTCGCAGGGGCTCGGTGGGCCCCGTCCCAGCCAGGACATTACCTGACCTGACCCAGCTTCCTCCCTTCCGTCTTCAGCTCGCTTGTTGCTTCTTCCCCTGGTTTCCAGCCCAGGAAAGTGTATGGTTACGTCACTGAAGACTGACCAATAAAAAGTCGACTTCCCCCAAGGGGGCGGAAACTTTCGACCAATAAAGACTGGAATTGAGAGCCGGGGCGGGGCCGACAGGGGGTAATCTACGCAGCATCTAAACCCGGATTTACCTGCCGGTGGGCATCTGAAGTCCTAGTAAATTGGACTTTGAGTGAGCTCACCCTTTTCCCATTGTCCAGAGCTTCTAGAGGGAAGGTCTAAACTGAAAGGCGAAGGGTGGTGACCCCGCAAACAAGGACCGGAGCCTCATCCGCTACAGGACAGAGACAGCTGTCGGGTGGGGGCGGGGAGAGGGACGGTGGCGACCGCGTTTAGAAATAGCCCTCCCGCCGCCCTCCCCGCTCGTTCCTGCGCGGCTCCGGGGTGCCACTGCCACTTTTAACAGGGGAGGGGGAGGAGGCCTGGGAAGCATCCCAAGATGCAACCTGCTAGACAGGAGACAGTGCCTAGCTCGCTCTCGGGGTTAAAATTGACCCCAAAAGACAGGGAGGTAGGAGGGTGGGCACTAAACCCAGAAGAGCTCCAGCATGGTCTCCCAGAGCCAAATCTGCCTGGCCCAGGAATGTGCTCAGAAAGGAAACTCGGTTTCTCACAGCTGGGGCGGAGGAGGGTGGGAAACAGCAGTACCAGCTGAGGTTTGAATCTTCCAGGAACCCTGGCGTTAGACATCCTCTGGCCACCATTCTTCCCAGGAAGGGCAGAGGCTCATTCCAGCCTCCGCAGATAAACAGGAGAGTCCACATGTGGATTTTCAAGTCATTTTATTAATCCAACCGTACAAAAGATCCCACCACATCTCTTGCCACCCACTTCTTCCAAAAAGTGGAGCGGGCAAGAGGGGGCAGATGGGACAGACACTCCCCAGGAGCATTTTACAAACCGTGGAGGGGGACACAACACAAATGTAGCAACAAATGTAGTCGGGGCAAATAGAAGCACAAACACAACACAAAGCTGAGCCCCCCACCTAGGCTGTTTTGGTGTGAGGGAGACCAAGAGAGAAGCCCAGAAGCCACTGCTCCCTCCTCACAGCCCCACAGACCACTGGCTCTGCATAAGGGGCGGGTCCTTTCCACCAAAGGAACTGAGAAGTGGGGGAGGACCACAAAGGGTGGCCCCCCAGGGCAAAGGGCCACACCCAGGCCTGCTTCTGCACCCCTCTGAGGAATGTGCACAGGAGCTGCAAGGAAAAAGGTGGCTCTGAGCAGGCCCCAGGCCCATCACTGGCAGGCAGTGCTTTAAAAATAAAAACAAATCAAGCCCAGCACAGGACTTTGGCTGAGAGGAATGAGAAATACTAGGTCACCAAGCTGGAGATGATGTTGAAGAACAGCAAGAAAAGAGGAGCAAAAGATCTTGAGGCTTTTCTACCCTTCAGCACCATGGCACTGAGGATCCCACCACTTCCTCCTCACTTGAGGCTGCAACCAGGGTTTCACTTGGAGTCTTATCCAGAAGAAATGAGGTATGAGGGCTCTGTGCCCTTCCAAGCTTCCCTTCAGCGTAGCCGGGGAGGCGGGGACGAGGGCGCCAAGAGCTGAAGAGCTGAGTATAACGTGCAACAGATGGGCAAGGGGGGGGACTGCACCACCGGAGTCAAGGCCTCCGGGACAATTTCAAATATTCCACTGGGCCACACCACATATCCCAATGTTTGGCTAAAAAAGGGGGGGGTCACTAGAAGGAAAAAAAAAAGCAGGAAGCTGAGTAAGGACCAGTGACTTTGGTATGAGGAAGATATGTCCTGACAGCATCTCTCCCCAAGTCACCAAGAAACTGCCGTGGCCAGGAGCTCCTGCGTCTTCCAGCTATTTGGTGCTCGGAGGGAGGAGATGGAGAAGTCTAGGAGGGCAGAAAAAGGGAGAAGTCCCAATGATCCCCTAAAGCTGTCTCCAAGCCCAAAAGGGCCACGGTAGAAATGGGAAGAGATCGAACTCCCCTATGCAAGAAAGTGAACCCTCGGATCCAAAACCCAAAGCTGGAGCTGTGGGGCAGATGCAGATGACAGGCACAGGTGTCGGGCGTCTGTCATCTGCAGACAGGACACCAGTGCCCTCCAGAACATCCTCCACCTCCTTTTCTCCTGCAGCCATATCCAGGTCTCCAGAGATGGCCACCAAAGATGGCTCTGCTCAGCAGGGCTGTGGTTTCCTGAATCTGCAGATCTCAATGCACAAGTTTTCAGAAGGGAGCGATCTGGGCTCTTCTGCCCACCCACCTCAGTTCCTCTTCTGCCCTGGAACCATCAGGTTTCTGCTCCATGGATGGGAAGCCAGTGGAAACAAGGACGGAAGAGCCAGACAAACACCCTGGGAGAGCAGGAGGGACGCGAGCACTGCCCCGGCCATCTCCACGGTATCACCCGTCGTTAGCAGCCACCAGCTGCCCCATGCCCTCGCGGATGTAGACAGACTGGATCTCCTTGGTCTTGAGGCACAGGTCGCAGGCCCACACGGCAGAGGCCTCAGTGGTCAGCAGCCCATAGGCGTTCTCGGTCATGCCTGTGCACTCTCGGTGGAACCACTTCTGGCAAGAGGCCTCGCACAGTATGGCATCCTGGTCATCGTTCACCTCACTCCGACAGGCACCACAGGGGTACACGAGGCCTGGGGGAGGCTGGGGCCCTGAGCTCCCACTTGCCTTGCCAGTGGGTGCCAAGCTGTTGGCGTCTGGAGTGCCACCGCCCCGCCCACTACTGTTTGACGGAAAACTGGGCTGATTCCCGTTAACAGCAGCAGCTGGGGAGCCTGAGTGGGGTTCCTGGGGGAAAGCAGTGGGAGCAGGGGGGTCCGAGGGCTTCTCACCACCAGGGCCAGGGAAGCCAGGGTCAGGGCCAGGGAAGGGACCTGTGTTAGGGGGCAGGCTGGGAAGCCCTTGCCCAGGTCTCTGAAGAGAGGGGCCGAAAGGAGTCCCTGGCTGGGCAAAGCGCTGGGGCAGAGAAGGGGGACCCAGGTCCCCTCTCGGCGGCTGTGCCATGGTGGCTGAGATCATGGGGCCAAACCCTCCCACTGGACCTGGGATCATCTGCCCACCGGGAGGACTGAAGTTCTGACCCAGAGTCTGGCTGAAGGGCTGGCTGGGGAAGTTCATGTTGCTGGGGGGTGGGTAGCCAGGGCCCTGGGGGGGCATGTTGAAAGCGGGGCCCATCGGGTTGGGAGGGAATGGGGGAGGCTGTCGGCGAAGAGGCTGGGGTCCCCCTCCACCCCCAGTGCCATAGCCTGGGGGCACCTGGCCTGCCATGCCCCCTTGTACTCGGAAGCCTCCAAAGGGCACAGGGCTGCCAAGGAATGGAGGGGCCGCTCCCCCCACCTTAGGGGCTCCGAAGTCATCCTCAAAAGGGTTGGACGCCACCAGGTGATCCACCATGGGAGTTGGGGGTGGTGCGAACTCTGTCAAATGGGAGTATGCAGGGCCCTAGTGGAGAACACAGGAGGAAGAGGGTCACCGAGGGAGACAGCCAAAGCAGGAGTACCACTCACAGTCCAGACTGGGGGCTGCTGCTAGCTCAGACCTAAAATCCAAAAGGCCTTGATGCAACAGAGAGGGCCAGAGATTTGGCTCAGCAGCTCCGCTGCCTGCCTTGCAGGCACCAGGACCAGAGTTCCATACCCAGTACAAAAAAAAAGCAACAGAGAAACAGGGAGGGAACGGAGGCAACATTGCAACACCTGCACTTCGAAAAACAGGTAAAACTACACTGAAATACCAGCTCTGACCCTGAAGCAGGCTTCCCCCGCACCTTGGTACCAGAGATCGAACTTGGGCCCTTGTACTTGCGAGGCAGGCACCAGAACCACTGAGCTAAATCCCCAGCCCCTTTTTCTTTTGGTGCAGTACAGTGAACCCAGTGAATGCTGAGCCACATCTCCAGCCCCTTTTAATGTTTGAGACAGAACATCAGTAAGCTGCCTGTGCTGGCTTCAATTTCACAATCCTTTTGTTTCAGCTTCCTGAGTGGATGGAATTACAGGTGTGTGCCACCAAGCTTAGTTTATCTAACTTTATTATTCTTTGGTAGTCCTGAAGACTGAACTCAGGGCATTCATCTGAGCTATATCCCTAGCTCTTTATTTTTTGAGATAGGGTCTCACTAAGTCTCTAAATTGCCCACACTGGGCTCAAACTTATCATCCTTCTGCCTCAGCCTCCCAGAATACTGGGATTACAGCTGTGCACCGCAGGCTCAGCTAGCTCATTTTTTTTTTTTTTCTTGGTACCAGGGATTGAACTCAGGACCTTGTGCTTGCAAGGCAGGTGCGGTGCCACTGAGCTACATCCCCAGCCTTCATTTAACTTTTTAAAGCCTCAGATTTCTCATCTGCAAAATACGGCCAATGCACACCTCTCAAAACTCTTAAAGGCACCTAAGCACACAATCTTGGCCCTCAGAAAAGGCTCAGTCTTGCAGGTGTTTATCATTATGAGGGAACCAGGGCAAAAACCCTAACACTGCCTACTAAGACCTTTAATCACAACATCTCTTCAGGGGTCAAAAGATCCCTCCCTTAAACTTATCAAAAGGTTGAAAGGACCAGAAACAGAACGAGAGACCAATCTCTCACTCGGTAAAAGACACAAACCGAGCAGCAGAGCCCCCCAAGGGCATCCAGGGGCTGTCAGGAATCACCTGAGTATTCGACTTCCTTCGCTTCTTTTCTGGGCTCTTCATTTGCAGACCTGGAAGAGCAGCAAAACGCAAACGCTGGTATTAGGGTTTCCCTAAGGTTTCTCCAACCTCCCTTCCCCCAGGAACCACTTTAACTGCAGTGTATACTTGCTTACTTATTTTACACATACGGTACTAGGAGGAGCGTTATGTGAAAAATGAACTGTTTGGCCGTATGCTCAACTCCGTTTTCCTTGGAATGACAGAGCCCATCTCGACACTATCGGCGTCCAGGTGACTCCTTGATTCCACGTGGGTGCAAACGCCAGTCGATCCGTGACACCCTCCCTCGCCCCGGCC